TCTGTTCTTCTCTCCTGCCTTCCCAGCATGCCCTCTCCCTATACATACTGTGTGAGATCTGGGCATGCAAGATTATGACTTCTTCATCTCGGGTTGTCTGAGGTCTCGAGCCTTGTGGTCTCTGATGAGGTCCACATATGCAGAGTGTGTCTCTGGGCATGTATCTTTTGCATGTGCGCATTTGCATGTCTGTGAGCTTTCATGTGTGTGTGGCAATTCTCCCTCCGTTGGCGAGCCTCTTTGGGGATATTTTTGCTGCTTTAATGGTCTGATGTTCAAATCTACAAAGACCTCCACCACTGTGAACTGAAGAGAAGCACAGAGACATGCCCACACTCTTCTAGCCAACAGGGAGGAAGACTGCGTTCCTGATTGACAGGCTGAGATGTGTGCATGTATTAAAGGGAGACAGAGAGGGAGGGATGATAGCAGGTATGCGTGGAGCTTAATTAATTAGAGAAGGGATCCTCATCTCCTGTCACTAACAGAAATACCCTGAGGCCATTAGAACCCACTCTCTATTTTAATGCAAACATGTGTGAATACTGTAACTAATTGATCCTTGAATCTGACCCTCCCTCCCTAGAGTGACTGTGTTTGAGTGTTATGTATATATCGACTTGATTTGTGGACACCTTGTACAGCACATGTTCTTCTTAGAGTATTTAAGATGCATCTTATGTCAGTCCGACATGTTCAGTAAGCTGTGATAACTGACTGAAAATGTATTCTGTAACACCATATGTTGTCAGCGGTGATATAAAAATGTTTTTCCAGGAGGTGTTTATTTAAGAGGGAGGCTGTTCTTCCAGTGATTATAGAGAGTGACCTCTCGCCAAGCTGCTGAGATGCTATCAATTGTGGCTGCTCCAGCTCCGCCACGGCTGACAGTTAGTGCTTTTTATTTCCAGTAGTAGGGGCCACACTTACAGGATAGTGGTCAGGGACATGCAGATAATGGATCTGTCAAGTAGGCATGTCATACTTTCTCTTCTCTCTCAAACTTATCCAAAAGATTTTGAATGTCAATCTTCAAACAGCAGGAATTTGAAAAGCAGGTCTTTAAAATGTGACAAACTTCTTTAGTGCAAACGCCTGTGGAGCTTGTGTGAAACAGACACACACACACAAGGCAGATCACGCAGACTGCTAAAGTTTCAAATGTTCTCTTTAGTTCAGTTTCCATTGTCGCATAAGACTGATCCAGATAGCTCTGACTATGGCTGTCCTCTGTCTCCTGCTATCTGTATTTTGCGCAGTATATCTCTGAACGATGCGATGGTGATTCCACTGTGCAAATGGGCAACATTACCTCTACTATGAAGGATGCTACAAGCCTGTCCATCTCTGCTTTGGTTTCCGGTCCTCCAAATTCTAATTTGTGCCGCTTCGGAGTCGGCGGCGGCTCACTCTGGGTTCGGGGGTCCGGTCCTTAGCTATTAGCTTCACCTTAGCATGTGTTCTTTGCAGGTATTTGTTGAGGTTTGACATGGTGTTTACAGCAGTGGATAACAGCTTCTGGCCTGGACACAGTTTGCACCTCACCGTCACATTCCTGTCTATTCTTCGGACGAACTCAAAATAATGGGCATACCTCCACCCCTCGAAAGTCATCGCTGACTCTGCCATGTTTATGCAGCACTGCACGTGGAGATGTGGACGTGCAAGTCGCGCAGATTACGTATATATAAACCTGCGGCGGAAACCCCTCTTGTCTGTCAGTGTGATTATGACTGATTTTATAAAAGTAACGAAGTAACGCGAGTCGGGGCAATGTTAGTAACTGTAGTGTGATTACTGAATTATAAAAGTAACGCGTTACACTACTCCGTTACCGACAAAAGTAATATTATTATTACTTTACGTTACACCCAACTCTGGTTGTTGGTCATATTCTCTGTCTACATCCGTGACTCACTTCATTAAATTTCCCTTTCTGTCTCGTTCTCTACCAGTGCTCGTTCTCTTGTTCTGCTCTGCCTAACACAAAGCTCAAATCAAAGTAAGAAAAAGGAAAGAATAGGAAATAGGTATCTCATTTATTCTGCTGAATTTCTGAAGAGAAAGACAACATTTTTAGGAATAGAAAATGTGACTGACAGCTGTGAACTTCAGTCTTCAGATTCCGTGCAGGCTGCCTAATGGAATTGGAATTTACAAAAGAAAAATAAAGAGGAGGTGCAGATGAACAAAAACACAATTTGAATGAGCTCAATCACAAGTGTTTGTGTCAGTTCATATCATGAGTTCAATTTGCACTCGATATCCTTCATGTTTGATCTCTATCATGTAAAGGTCTGCATTGTTATCTTGCAGCGTGATCAGTGGAGTTTCCTCTGTGGCGGACATCATGTTATATGATCCAATCGCATTGAGACCAGTAGCACCTGTTCCATTCTCCAAAACCAACCAACTGACCAATCAGCTGTTAAAAGTGTTATATGGAGGACTGGCTTTGAAAATAAAACAAATATATGTGTTTGTTTTGTCCCTCTCACATCTTGCTCTTTGCCTCTTTTGGAAGCGTTCATCCAGCGGTTTATATTCAATCCCTCTTTCCTCTATTCCTCTCCAATCTCAATAGCACATTACTGAATCAAACATGCCGCTTTATGACAAATATATTTACCCAAGAAATGTTTATTGTGGAAAATACACACCTATAAACAGAAACAAACACACACACATGCACACACAGACGTTTATGGCTGCAGACTGATCAGTGAAGCCTAACTATACCCTTACGATTTCTAAAAAGCACCCAAGGGAGTACTCCACTCTGACAGCTGTAACAAGGTACTGCGCGTATATTTATGTGATTGTGTGTGTTTTCGTGAGTGTGTGTGTCCTTTGTGACAAAGGATGCCAAAGGATACAACCCTGTAAAGAGAATCTAATTAAAAGTCTATACCGCCACGAGGGACACAGTGCTCCATCCCTCCCTCTCTCCAGCCCTCCTCTCATTTAACCATAGTGAACACTTCAGCTGACTGTTAGACAGTAGAGTCTATCCTCTGGCCTCCAAGGAGAAGCTATATAGAGCGAAGGACATGAAGTGATTCAGCGATACAGGCTGTGATGGAGACACGAACACGGGGGGGAGAAGCGGAAAAAAGGAGCAAACATTTCAGTGTATGTGAGTGTAGCCATTCTTAGGTAAGGAAAAAAACAGTGTCCCTTAGGTTCATCTATTCAAATGAATAAAAAGTCACTGAAAACTATGATTTCCAGACTTTTTAAATACCAAGATTCTGTGCTGAGCAGTATTTAGATGGTGAATCCCAGATTTGGGCTACAATACCTTACTTATTCATAACGGATTCTGAAGTTTCTTAAAAATAGTGCAATAATAACTAAAGTTGGGTTCAAGCAGGTGGACCAATTTTAGATCCGGTCCCAGATCGGGAATATATATTTAATACTTAAATATCAAAAGGCTATGACTTTTTCATTGAATGTCTCCTCCACCTCGATATAACCTAATGTAAGAAGGCCTCTCACTTTAAGAAGAAGAATAGGGAGGGATGAAACCCTCTTTAATGGTCACACATGCAGAGCACACAGCACACACAGTGAAATTTGGCCTCTGCTTTTAACCCATCCTAGTACAAGGAGTCTAGTACTAGGAGCAGTGGGCAGCTATTGTACAGCGCCCGGGGAGCAATGGGAGTGGGGGGGGAAGGGGGGTGTCCGGTGCCTTGCTCAAGGGCACCACGGCAGGGCAGGAGGTGAACTGGGACCTCTCCAAGTAGAAGTCCACACTCCATATTTAGGTCTGGTCGGGGACTTGAACCAGCGACCCTACAGCTCCCAGTCCAAGCCCCTACTGACTGAGCCACTGCCGGACAATTGATTCAGACTAGGATCTTCCTATTGATGGCTTAAGTCATAAATGTCCAGCGACAAGTTATATATCAGCTGTAGTTAATTAACAGTTCTGCTGAAAGTTATTTACCAAAAAGCCAAAATAAAACTCACTTCAAACCGGTGTCTATTCTCAAAACAATTTGTAGGGTAAAAAAAAGAATGAATTGAACTTGTAACACCACCTGACATCAGTCTTTGATCGTGATAGGACAGCAGTTCAGAAACACTATCTGACTGTTGAGTCTTCTCTGATTAAACAATGAAGCTGCGTCACGTCAATCTCCGCTGTTGAAAGCAGAGGTTTTAATGACCTTGCATATGATATCAATAATGTAGGCTTCTCAACTCAATAGTTCTAAATCAGGAGCTCCAGTATTTGAATCAAGTAGTTTACAAAAAAAGAATGTGTGCAAAATTAAGTTGATTACATCAGTTGTTCTATTATGTCGAATACGTATTTAATCAACATTTCACACCCTCTGCTGCTCATCTCATTTGAAGGTTGTATCTAGTGATTGTCAACAGTAATTACGCCGCCGCTCAAACTGCCTTCTGCCTTCTCAGCCAACAAATAGTGCAGATTTCAACTGAATCTTTGAGTTCTGACTATTTTTTTTTTACTAAACTGGCTCCATTAAGATTCTATCAAATCCTGACCCTAGTGATAACACAGAGAACCAAATCAAGCTGCCCTAAAGACAAAAACAGGTTAAACAAATGCAAATTAGAAAGTTGCATTTTCCCAAAGACTCTGGAATCTCCTTATCTACTATCAGTAATATTTGATTATGGAATAAACTAAGCTTCTTTGCGAGATTTAAATATGCTGCATAATTTCACTTACTGATTGTGACAAGTAGCATTGTTTCATACAACAGCCCAAACTTTTATATTCAGGGAGAAAGTAGCTTTGTCTGTCGGTTAAGCTATCTAGCCAAAGCTGTGTGTGTGTGTGTGTGTGTGTGTGTGTGTGTGTGTGTGTGTGTGTGTGTGTGTGTGTGTGTGTGTGTGTGTGTGTGTGTGTGTGTGTGTGTGTGTGTGTGTGTGTGTGTGTGTGTGTGTGTGTGTGTGTGTGTGTGTGTGTGTGTGTGTGTGTGTGTGTGTAGCACCATCTTTTGTGGATTCTTGTTTACCTGAGATGCTCAGGTAGACGGCGGGACTTGTCACGTTCTCTCCTGTCCTCTCGTTGACCGCCTCTACGTAGTAACGTCCAGCGTCCGCTGCAGTGGTTGCCAAGACGACCAGCTGATTGTCCAAAGTGATTGCACTGTAGGGCAACACACAGACAACAAGGGATTAGAAAAACATAAGTCTTCCACTAAAAGCACAACGGGCCTCCTTCTCTCAGACGAGAACACTGCTCAAACGGAGAAACTGACAAGAGTATTTGGTACATGGATCATTTAGAATTCACAAGGGGGGAAGGAAACATTGAATACATTCATCAGGAAGGAAAGAGGATTCGGAGAGCTTAAATAAATCTCTCCTCCTGTCTCAGATTGATATGTGGCTCATTTTGTGTCTCTGTCATTCTTTTGGCCGTTTTCTTTGTTTGTGTATTGTGCTCTGTTCTCCCTTCTTTCCACTGATCCATTCTTATTCCCCCACACACCAGCGGTAATCAATACAGCACAAGCATATACACAAGCACACAAGATCTTACACTGTTCTCACATGAGCAAACAGAGATGAGAAACAATCACTTACAAACAGACTTTGTGTTACTGTTGCTTTTCAGGGGAGCATTACAGAAAGAGTGGATTTTACAGGAGACGTTGTGGGAGAGGATAGCAGGAGGGAGTCGAGGAAAGTAAAAAAACATATTCGTAAAGCTCAGATTTCCTTCAGATGTGTTTGACGTTGTGTGCCTGGGAACAGAAGCCGCCAGGCAGGAAGCGCAGGTTAATGTTTTAAGCGATGCTTCTTGTGTTTTCAGCATGTAAGTGGATGTAAATCTCCCAATATTCTAACCTAAGAGCTGACACTGAAATAAAATCAATATGACCAAAGGGAGAATAGAGCATATTAAAGTGAGATGATAGTCTGTTATTTTTATAGACTCCGTCAGATTCTGTGCCCCGGCGCCACACAGATAAATACTGTTGTGATTTGGGGCTACATAAACAAAAAATATAAAAGGAAAAAAAAAAGATATGCAGTGTGAATGATACTGCACAAAAGGAACCCTTTTTCATTTGGAAAAGAAGTATAAATAGATTTGAAGAGACAATATTTTGAACAAAACATCTGCAAGTATGTGTTTATAAGCTGTGTTTTCTTTCTGTGAGCATTGTTTAGCTGTGGGGAATCGGCAGCAATTTTCCAGATCGACACACTTGGGCGAGGTTTCCTCTCCATTTCAAAGCGGCACATAACACTTATACCGACCTGAGTCAACACTACACCCAGCGTGCCAACAGCAGTCTGAGTCCTGTCTCTGAAACATTCAAGTTTACCGCAGGATGTCAAACATCTGCTGCTGTTAAGATTGTCAGATAATAAGAGATGTGGTGCCAGGTCACCTCACGCCGCTCTTTAGCTGGTGCTGCAGATTCCTAACAACCAAATAGAGCCCATCTACCATCATCCCCAGATTAGAGATGATTGTGTCAATTCACCCATGACCACAAGATCATCATGGCTCTTTTGATCACACATGGAGGTGTCTGTATGTGCTACACATGAAGATAGAAAGCACTGATTAAACTACATATTGATCGAGGAGAGGAGAGTAGTGGAGAGAGAGTGTTGGGCTGTTTGACACACACTCCCACAAACACACAGAATTCCTCAGGTCTAATTTTATTCAGTGTGATTTCCCAGGAGAACATCCACAAGAGCCTCAACCCAAACACTGACACTCGTATTTGTGTGAGTGTATGTTGCTTTGTTAGTGCATGTAAGTCTGTGTGCACGCCACCTGATCTCACTGCCATAGAGGCTATAGTTAAACCTTTCTCCTCTTTTCTCCCACGTCCACGGTGAGGTTAGATTTTGCATTCTCACCGAGGTCTGTAATGCAATTTATGCCTGTTAAGCTCATTAACTGCACTGAACAGACCATTTGAATGCATCTGTTTTACCCTGTACATGCTGATTAATAGACAGTGAAGGCATGCTTCCACTTGCCTATAGTGTCTGAGGGAGAGAGAGCCTGGGAGGTTATTAACAGTCAACGTCAAAGGAGCTCAGTGGGCGGGTGAGAGAATGCAATAAGATCAATTATGATAGCATACTAACATCTGAACATTTGCTAAGTTAAAAGTATTTGTTCATGTAGGATTTTCCTCATTTACATATCCCATGTATATGTTCTATTTACATGTGAAATGACTTGTGAAGACAGAGGCTGGCGGCTCCAGCACTTTGTGTCACGCTTTCATTTGCTCCAAATTGGGAGGTCTCTGGCTTGATTTCCTATAAAATCGTCACGTGGTGGAACTTTCAAATCGAAAAAGCAACACAGAGGGAACTAAATGAAATATACCAATAAGAAGTCAGACACGCAGGCAGGCATACAACTAGGCGTGCACGTCAGCTGCTTACCAGTGTCTTTTTGATCATTCAGACTGAAACTTGATGTAGTTGAGATTTAATATTACATGAATTCAACATGCCACTTCCTGCTCTCTTTTAGTTCTACATTTAATTAAATTGGACAAAATTGTTCTGGCTTTTAATTAAAGACAAACTCAATTGTAAAACAGTGCATGACTCTGCGTGCATATGTGTGTCCGTGTGTGTGTGTGTGTCCGTGTGTGTGTGTGTGTGTGTGTGTGTGTGTGTGTGTGTGTGTGTGTGTGTGTGTGTGGGTGTGTGTGTGTGTGTGTGTGTGTGTGTGTGACAGTTTATCCCCAGGCCAAAGAAGGAAATTAAAATGCGGTAATGAACTACATCCTATTCCCTTCTAGTGAATTCCTCCCTGTATCCCTCAACCCCCTCAAATAATAAAAAACAGTCTCTCTGACTCTTTCTCTCATTTTCCATTCTCCCTCAGATTACAATCTGCATATTTCTTTCTTGGTTTCATCCAATTTTCTTTGGGTTTTCTTTTCTGAAGCTTTCTCTCTATCACACTGTCATCCCCTCTGAGACCATACCACTGTCCTGTCTCCCCCCCCCCCCCCCTCTCCCCCTCTCCTTCCCCCTGACTCTTTTCAACCAAAACACCAATCCAGATTGGTGTTTCATTAAGTGTCTTGCCCCAAGACTCAATTAATAAACACTCTCGGGTGCCTGGACTGCAAGGCTGACTGCAAACACAAACACACACACACACACACACACACACACACACACACACACACACACACACACACACACACACACACACACACACACACACACACACACACACACACACACACACACACACACACACACACACACACACACACACACACACACACACATACAAGTGTGCCAAGAGCTAATTAGTACACGCATGTTACAGGCAAGAGGATGAGTGAGGGAGTCAGCGCATGAATGACTGTGTTTTCTTAAATTTAAGTGTGTCTTAGAGTGTTTATCGAGTCTAAGGGGGCCGTCTCTCTGCCAATGGGCCCCCTCGGCCCTGTCTGCCCTCCCCCTCTATCTCCGATAGGCAGCGAGCCACCTTTTCAGAGCGCACTGACATGCAGAGGCTGCGGGTGGAGGAGTGTGGCGGGGGGGCGGAGGAGGGACACTCCACTGTAAACCAAGTCCAGACAGCAGGCTCTTTGGCAGCGTACTCTCCAAAGCAAGTGCCAGCCACCCACACATCATACATACTGGTGTTCTCACACAGTTGGGAGCATTCACTGTTTCTTGTGGCCGTTTGAACCGGATGTTTGCCTATGTGTTTCAGTTAGAGGAAACATAAATAAAGTCTATGTCGCACTGATTCATAGTTGCCGTACAGAGGTTCATACATGCTGAATGCTACACAGTGTGTGTGGACCTGCACACATCTCGCTTCAACTTACCATTTGTTATTACATACTACACATGGGGTTGGGGTATTCAAATGTTTTAAGCATTCCTGCTTTCAAAATGGCCTGTCAGCTTGAGTTGTGGTGTCCTCTATCCCAAAGTAATTGGTAACTATAAAACTCTGCTGCAGAGACTGCATTGTTTTGAATGCGGAGACGATGGGGAGAGCTTCTGTACCACTTTCATCAATTTAAGCTTTTTTTTTGTGGCTTTTCTTTTTCTGCAAACAACAGCTGACAGAAAAAGACACAGTGATGCCAATAATTGCTGTATAAGCATTACCGTAACAAGTCATCCTTATTAGTAAGGGTAGTATCTTCTATCCTTTTTTCCAAAAAAAGAGAATAACGTATTGTAGCCTCATTCGACTCTATAAGGGTAAATGTGCAAGTCATCCATCAAGAAGTACATTTCTGCAATAGTTGTATTCTCGCTGAACACAAAGCTGGTGGAGGAGTATTTTTCACCAATTTCAGAGGACACACTCTTTTAGTGGCTGATGGCGATACCTGACAGCCCGTTCCTGTTGTAATGCTCTGGAGTAAATTGGGCTCCAGCAGAAACTCCAGGTCTCAAATGGTATAGGGGTTTGTACACTACTAAAATGTGAAAGTACAGAGTGAGGGGAAAAGAGGGCTGATACTGGTGGTGAACAGAGAATAAAAACAATAAGGAGAACTTAACTTTGCCAATTTCCTTCAACAGTTTGTGTAGTTTTGTTAAATATGATAGATGTGTTTTAGTAATGGGATTAAACAGTCTAACTGAGTTAAGACCAGGAACTGGAGCGCTGCCAGCAGCTCTTGACATTCTGCTGCCAGCAGTCTGACAGTGTCTGCTTTAGTGATTTTCCATGCATAGTTTAAATGAAGCTATTGTTAACATAGCCTGGGGGTTGAAGATTTGTTTTACAGTATATTTGCTGAACATTCTTTAATCCTCTTGCTAAGTCAAAACGCAATCCCTCAAAACATTATCTTAAAAAAAAACATTTGTTAAAGTTTCTGATTGCTACAAATGTGAGGAAAAGGACTTAACGCTATATTAAGATATAACGTCAAATGATTGTATACATTTTGCAGCTTTAACAGAGGTTTCTTTTAGACTAACGTTTTTTTAGAAAGTCTTTTTCCTCAAGTCTTTAAAAGGGATTGATTTTGTTCTTAATTTACAGTGTGTTATTCTGGTGTAGAGAATCATCCCATCCACTCAAACAAATAATTAAAACCTGCTGTTATTTGTATAACTTATTGATGGATTAAAACAAAGACAACTTGATAACGGAAAAAAACGTAG